AATTTGAATTATAAGTATAATTGGATGAGAATAACCTTAACAGTGTTATGAAAGAAAGGGGTCTTGGTGTAATAGTTGATCAGTCTCCAAAGCCATCCAAGCAGTGTACTGTTGCTTGTGGTAGGGCAAATATGATTTTAAGTTGTACCTACAGTAATGTTGAATACAAGTATAAAGAGGTTACAATCTCATTCTATAGGTTAGGCCACATATTGTGTCCAGTGTTGGGCTTTTTACTTCAGAAAGGACCTTGAATTGTTGGAAAGGGTTAGAGGAGGGTTACTATAATGGTGCCTTGGGTGGAGGAGTTGTCATACGAGGAAAGCTTGAAAAAAAAAAGAAGAGTTAGATGGGAACTGATTGAGGTGTTTAAGATTGTAAAGAAAATTGATAGTGTTGATGCATAATATTTTTTCATAGTTATCGGCGAGAATAGTATGACTAGGGAACACAAATATATATTTTCGCAGAGTAGGAGTTATCTTCAGCTAAGACAGTTTTATTTTTCTAACAGAGTGTGTTGCCTTTGGAATGGGTTATCTTCAAATGTTGTGGAGACAGTAAATTTAAGTGAGTTTAAGACAAAGCTTGATAGCCATACGAAGGATAAGGGATGAATTTAAGATCTTTTAAATGTATTTATTTAATAGTTGTAGTTTAGTTTAGATGATGGGAAAGTCGAGATGTACCAATAGGTCCCTTGTTGTCCCAAAATATTATGTTATGTTATACGGCCGATCAATGCTATGAGAGAACAAAGGTCACAAAGTTACAGTGTAGATAGACAAAGAAACCAAACTTACCCCTTTGACTTCAGGCATGCATTCTTAGTTTAGTTTCTACGTGGAGTTCTTCAAATAAAGATCTACTTTAAAATCATCATTTTTAGTTTGACAGAAGTCTGTCCTGAGTGAAAGAAAGATGTGCAGCTAAGTACAATCCAGAAGAAGTGGCTGTCTTTTCGCGTATGCAAAAATGTATTCTGCATTTTATTTTTGTTTGTTCTGTAATAAAGATATTGTTCACTTTGTCAAACTTGTCAAATTTTATTTTTTCATACACAATAGGAAAACTTAGTCCAAATATCAAATTGAGATTATTCCTTTCTTTCATTATCAGGTCTAGATAGGAAGGCAAATTTTTTTGTGGCATGACATCAGGATTTCTTGTGGGTATTCTGAATCAGTAACATGTACAACAGCCATTGCTTCTTCTCTTTTGTTAGAAAGAGTTTTGAGGATGCTTCTTATGATGAGAATGGCATTTTTTGGACATAGAAGTTCTTATCACCAAGAGGGAGAGTTTTTTGGTAAATAGAGATGGTTATGTGGTACAAATTTCTAGTGTAGGAGGAGTCCTCTTTTGGATGTAGGACTTTTGCCTATGTTTTGAATGGCTATGACATTGGCTACTTTGCATCTTCCGAATCTGGAAGATTTGCTCATATTTGGAGTACCCACACCACTCAAGCAAATGCTACCCCTGAGTATCAATCTTAGTGAAAGGGAAGTGGGTTATCAAAATGGAATGATGCCTGGGGAGTTCGAAATTGCTTGGAGAAGGTCTCTATCAGACTTTTAGGTTGTCACCAGTCAGAGCACCGTAGTTCCAGCTCTGGTTAAGACCACTGGCGACTAGTGGATAGATGCTGGAGGTGTCACACCAGTGTTGTCTCTCCAGCAGGTGAGACAAGGGGCACCCATGAATGACGAACATTATCCATGTGGTAAGTTACTTTTCAGGACTGAAAAGCTCCCTGCAACACTAGTGGCAATTCATGTTGTCTGGGGTAATGAAAGGCTGTACAATGAGCCATTTCGAGAAGCTTGTCACCCCGGATCAGGGACCAACTGTCCATTGGAGTGTTGAGTTCCTGTAAATAGCTTCCATACAGAACCAATGATACCAACAGTATCTAATCATGGTATTAATCAGAATTACACGATAAAGAGGCTTTGGCTTGGCATTACGATGAGTCAACAAAAATCATCAATTAAGTGACAGATCTACTTGCGAGTCGGATGTATACACTATTTGGAATCCCCGTCACACCGAACATCTCGCCCTTTCAGCCGTGGGGGCATTATAATGTGACAATTAATCCCACTATTCGTTGGTAAAAGAGTAGCCTAAGAGTTGGCGATTGGTGGTGATGACTAGCTGCCTTCCCTCTAGTTTTACACTGCTAAATTAGGGACAGCTAGCGCAGATAGCCCTCGTGTAGCTTTGCGCGAAATTCAAAACAAACAAACAAACCATCCTTG